GGTCGACGGCAAATTATTGGTCTGGCAATTCACACCTGCCATCCAAATAGACTCTTAAAACACGTGAGTAATGTGAGAGTATTTGCCTGCGGCCGGAGTTGCCTATCTTGTCTAATTGAATCTTAAAACACACGAGTAGCATGTGAATAACCAATAGAAATTGTTTGGTTACAAGAAGGAAAATAGGAAAAAGGTAGTAGGAACCCTCCTAGAAGATTATATGTATGTCATATACTGTAGTTGTTAAATGAACACATTGAGGAAACAAGTGTCAACATACTACTATCTTTCCAATCAAACAAAATAGACCATAAAAAAAAGGTTCACATTGTTTCCGATCCAACAGAACGAGCAAGTCTCGAGTCGATGTGTTTGTTTGTTAATTCGGTAAGGGGTGGGGGTTGTATTGTCTCGGGGATTCATGTTTAGTCAGAGTTCATTGAGGATGCATTGATTAGTTAAGACTCATGGTACACTGTAAGTGGTGCAACGGAAAAATATATAGTAGCCTGCCTATATTGTAACCTTATAAGTTCCTCGTCCAACGTCATTCATGCGTGCGCCAAACAAACAAGGTTGTGTGGAGCATCTATTAATGCGATCTAGACCATAGAAGGTGAATGTTTGTCATGTTATCCGTATCATTCTAAATCGGTGCCGACTGGTGATATTTTCATCTGAGTAACACCCGACACCTTCCCATGTGTACCCAACAAGGCAGCAAACGTAATTTGCCGGGGGCTCGGGGCTACGACAAGTGTATCGATGCCTTTACACAAAATATATTTGAAATATATACATACTCAAAATTGTAAGCCTGAATTGTGATACTATTGGATTGGATGGAGTGGCAGTAGGGTTTGGTAACTTTTGTTCAGCTCAAGTGGCAGCCCATAGTGTGACACTCAGTAGATGACGGGCGCAGAGGATCCCCGGCTTGACCAGGTACGGCGAAAGGGACTGTTGGCTCTGCTGACGCGTAAGCCAGGATGGCAATTATTGGTTGGGTTTCAAGAGCCCATAGTCACATCACAAAATGCCTTTACCACCGCAAAAATATCATTTTGTCAGCACAAACAAAATTTCATATCTTTTTGCTGGATAGGATGCAAAATCCAAAAGTTCACAAGTACTACTCCAAGAAAATCTCCATCTCTTTTGCTTGGAAAGGATTCAAAAGCTCATAATAAAAGAAAATCTCCATCTCTTTTGCATGGAGAGGATCCAAAGTTGATAAAAGAAAATCTTCATCTTTTTTGCATGGGAAGGAAGAAAGGGTCCAAAAGCTTGAGTTCCCCCGAGGAGCGATCGCGTCAGCGCGCACGTACCCGGCCGTACTAGACTTCTCAGAGGCCGCCGAAAGGGTCCAAGGCTGTACAGCTCGGAGATGCCATGTGCTGCCACTACAGTTTTGGATATCTTCAGAGTCACAGAGTCACAGGTACTACCAAGGAAACAAAAACTGCAGCAGGGAAATACAGACAGACCGGGTATTGTACGTATATACAGTGCGTGCACTGCACTGCAATACAGTGAGCATGGTGAGGTCTGTCCGTTCTGGATACATTCAGAAACATACTGGGATCTTGTTGCAGGCTGGTGAAAGAGAGAGGAATGGGGAGTTGCTGGTCAGGCAACTAGGCAAGAACACACATGATCTTGGCAGCTGAAGCAGAAATGTTTCGAGGGGTGGATCATACACGATCAGGATCTGACTGACTGGAGAAATACCAAAACTCTTATCTATCTAACGCAGCTCGACTACATGGACCTGGCCAGAGCAAATGAACTTCATTTCTCCGACGATTACATAAAAAATGACCGGCATTGGTGCAACAGTTTAGGCCGTGGGAGTCAGTCAGTTGTCGAGCTCCATGGCTTGCGCGGCCTTGGCTTTTCCCAGTGCGGAGAGCTTTGTCTTCACCTTCTTCTTGCCCACCTTGAAGCTGCTGCCCTTCTTCTTCTTATCGCTGCCATCAATCTGAAGAGACGCACAGAGAAACAGAAGTATCGTTAGCATGAATGTAGCAAATTCAGGTTTGTTCAGATCGAAATTCAAGCAAACGCTACACCACCGAACAACAGAGGATTGCAGTTTGAAGAGCCGCTGCGCGAAAACAAAATGAAGTGCCAAGGTGTATACATACAGGCAGCTAACTAGCTCAAGAACAGCACAGGTGCTGCAAAAAGGCCAGGTTGTATTCATCAGGGGAACTCCCTAGAGATGGTTTGGGGCAGGCAATTCAAAGAAAATGCATGGTTTGGGGGAAATGAGATAATCTGGAGACCATTCCCAGAATAGCATCTGCACTAATCATTTCAGACCTCTCAGTCAGGTCACACTTCTAGTTGGAAAGAAAGAGTATGCAAATGTCTCCAAGTGAATTGATCAGTAACGGTTTCCAAGTGAATTAATCCTTATGAATATACCCTGTTCTAAACACAGGAAGATCACATCAGGAATCTGAGCCAAACAAACGGTATTCCAGCTGTACTAATTCTTAAACAAAGCCAAAGAGTGAACTCTAACAGAACCCAACAGTCATCCTCTCGCGTGGAATAAAAAGGCCGTCACAGTTATCATCCCTCTTTCCTATGAATAAGGCCGAATTAGTTGGGAAGAGAAGATTATGCAAAATGTCTCCAAGTGAATTAATCAGTACCGGTTTCCAAGTGAATTAGTTCTTCTGAATATACTCTGTTCTACACACAGTCTGGTCACATCAGGAATCTGAGCCAAACAAACGGTGTTCAAGCTGTAGTTCTTAAACAAAGCCAAAAGAGTATGAACTCTAGCAGAGCCCAACACTCATCCTCTCGCTCAGAATAAAAAGGCCGTCGCAATTTTCATCCTTGTTTCCTGTGAATCGAGCTAAATTGGTGAATTCCCCCCAGACAAGTACAGACCCCAACAAGGTTGCAACCTCACATAGCCTATGAACATGACTAATCAGAACTCCATGTACCAAAAGACCACATGATATGCTCATCTAACATACGGAGGCGCCCAGTAGCAGCACAGCACCAATCAAGAAGCTGGTTTCACTAACGAGCAGCCTAGCAGGGCATCCAGGTCGAGTATAGCAGAGTCAAAGCAGGGGAGGGAGGGGCAGCTCATACCTTCATCTTGGACTTCTTGGCCTGCAGCTTCTTGGCCTGCTCCTCCTTGGCCTTCTTCTCCCCTGCAGACACACACACACACACACAGCAATCACCATCAATTCAGACCCAAAGAAATCAAATCGGGCTCTTCCTCTCAACCGCTACGGATCCATGGAGGAAGAAAGCGATAGGGAGGAGAGAAAGAGGGAGTGGTTGCGGTACTCTGGAGGTCGAACTCGTGCTGCTTCTTCCGCTTGGAGAGGCTGTTCTTCTTCGACATCGTCTGAGCAGCTTCGCCGCCGGCCGCCGGGAGACAGAGGCAGAGGCAAACCCTAGCCGAGAAAAGAAACGTTTTTTCTTCCTCCTCCTCCTCCTCTCCCCCACCTTCCCGCAATAAGCGCCGCGTCGGCCACGGCGAGGCGCACTGGGCCGGGCCCTGCTCTGCGTTTCGCGTTTGGTACAGAAGTTTTTGTTTTGGTTTAATTCGTCCCTTTTTCTTTTTCATTCACTGTTTTTTTCCTCTTCTTTGTTTCCCATTATTTTGTTTACTTTTTTTTTCTTCCCAGGATTTTATTATTTAGTTTCTATCACCCGTGTATTTATTCTCCTATATTTTTACTTTTTCTTTTTTTTCTTCTTCCCATTACTCATGTGCGTGGAAATAGTTTGTCGTCGTTGATTACAAAGTTGTTCTATCCGGCAACAACAAAAACTTTGGTAGAAATGACTGGTCATTTTATTTGTACAAATGCGGGTCTCGAAAATTTCTTTATTTGTTTCAAATCTGCTCCACATGGCCACAAAGAAGAATGTTCATGACATTAAGTTTTATGAGATATAAAAAAATATTTTTATGAACTATAAAAACATTTTTTAATGCGTAAACATTATTCTAAGACAACGCT